GTCCAGACTGGCTCGATCTCATGGTGATCCTCTGCCTCAGCCTTCAAAGTGCTGAGATTACAGGCCTGCAGGCCTGCACCAGCAGGCCCAGCAGCGTAGCTTTTCTATTTCAAAAGCTCAATGAGGCTAAGGAGAAAATCTTGGGTGTTGTTAGGTACTAGGGCGTTAAGTGCACCAACGTCTGAATTTAATTTCAAATCTCCTCTTATCTTCCGGAGCTGGATGCAGGTCACTGAATTCTGCTTCAATTTCCCTCTTTTACACAAGGATTATCATGATTCTAACCTCTTGGGTTAGTATGAGGTTCAAGTGAGATGACATGTTTAAACAACTTACCATAGTATCCGGCATGGAGAAACATTCTTTACATATTTTGTTCATTACATATTAAATTCTTAATTTCTTAATGATATTATTGTGAAGATAATATTTTCCTCACAAATGAAATATTTTGCTCTTCAGTGAAAATGTGTTAAACTGCTTTTAAGGTGAATGGAGCCAAGAATATATTAAATGAATAGATGGTCACTTTAAAAATATTAAAAATTTCAAACTGTGATTTATAAATAACAAACATTCAGGTATTATGGCCATTTCTAAGAAAGTCTGAAGTCATCTAAATGATATCTCATTTAGCATTATTAAATAATTTCTGTGGCTATAACTTCCAAGGTGAAAATGGATAAACTATTATTGAACACCACAAATATTTGCCAAGTATGGTAGGCTTGATCTTCTTGCTATTAGGATTGAATATCATTTGATATTCTTCACTAATATGATAAAGCAATTCATAAAGATGAAATAAAATAATGAAACTAATAATCAGACAATTCTAAATTAAAGTGAGACGTTATTTTAGGGTTATCAACTTGGCAAAGAAAAAGATCAATACTTTGGTGCTAGTGAAGGCACGGTTTAATTGACACTCTTGTATATTTTTGGTAGGAATATGAATTGGAATAACCAATCCTTTTAGAGACTTGGCAGAACAGGTAAAAACATTAATATAGTCTTTAGCTGGTCAATTCCATTTATTGAATTGTGTATTAAGAAAATATAATCAGGCAAATACACAAAGCTGTTTGTATACACATGCTTGCTGTGGTCGTGTTCACAACGATGAAATGAACTGGAAGCCATACAAAACACCCACCAAGATAGACATGCTTACATAACTTACGGTATATCTACGTGTCAGAACTCTGCAGCTACTGAAAAGGATGAAAAAACATGTCAGTTCATTGAAAAGAAAGGTTTGGACCATTTTGTAGTGAAATCTATCTATCTATGTATATATATGTATATACAAAATAGGATGGATATACAGCTACTTTCTCTTAATTCAATGAGAAGAAAGATTTGTACTAGTAGTGTTTGGACAGGATATCATGTCTTCATCTTGTACAATGAATAACTCTACAAAAATAACAATGTGCAATGTATTAATTATTGTTACTGTTCTACTAGCCTATTTTGAAACTGTCTCACTGCTATATGTTTCTCAATAAAATTAATAAAAAGAAAAAAGAAAGCTTCCAGCTAACATTATTTGGGCAATATTTCATGTCTACATCTTGTACTTTGAGTAACTACTATGACGATAACAAGATGCAATGTATTGATTATGGTTACTCTCCTATTACCCTGTTTTGCAATTCTTTTATTTTTAATTTTTTCCTCTTTAAAATAAAAGGTTAAACTGTTTTGTGCTGGCATGGAAAGATGTCAATGTTTTATATCGGATACCATTTTGATATATTTTTAAAATATAAAAAGTGTATGAATAGGAAAAATAAACCACGTGTTTCTAGTTGTAGAAAAACAAGCCAGGGCTCGTACACACCATAATTCAGCACACAGGAAACTGAGCAGGGAGGACCAGAAGTCTGAGGCCATCTGGTATGCAGGAAGGTTGAGACCTTGTCTCAAAAAGCCAAAACAAAAACTCCCACAAAAGAAAAATTAAAAACAGCTTTAGGGAGGAATAATCTATGCACTATGAAATTCACCCATCGTCAGCATACACCCGATGATTTTTAGCAAATTTATATAGTATGACTATCGCCAAAATCCATTTTTATAACTTTTAAATTATTCCTCAAATTTCATAGCCTTAATGTTCATAAGATTGTATTCACAGACTTAGTGTTTTTGGATGTGTTTATTATTTTTATTATTTAATTTTTTTAAAGTCTTGCAAAAGAAGTTTATTTTTTCCATAATATATGAAAAAAATCAATGATGTTAAGTGATTTATTAAGGATGTCTGAATTTTAGCTCTGCTTTGTTAGTGATTAAAAATACTATATTGAAGTGTGACTGATGTTTTTCATATTTAATTCTAAAACTTGATAAATTTGGAGATGAGTATATATCTATGAAATTATAGCCATTATCTGTGCCATCAGCATATTTTTATTTGTTCTTTCGTTTTGTTTTGCTTTGCCTGGTTTTGCAGCAGAGTCTTGCTATGTATTGCAGGCTGGCCTTGAACTATGTAGCCCAGGCTGCCCTTAAAAATCCCAGCGATCTTCCATCTTTAGTATTTTTTATTTTTATTTTATTTTGTTTTATTTTATTTTTTGGCAGAACCAGGGATTGAACTCAGACCCTTGCGCTTACCAGGGAAGCGCTTATTCCACTGAGCCATCTCCCCGGCCCATCTTTAGTATTGGGATTACCAGTGTGCACACCTGGCTAGGCCATGATTTATCCAGCAACACAGGTTTACTTTATTTTTATTTTTAAGGCACTGGGGACTTGAACCTAGGGCTTTTGCACTGAGCTGCGTTTCGGGCCCTTTTTATGTTTTATGTTGGGATAGGTATTGCTGACTTTTAGTTTGCAGGATGGGCTGGAGTTTGTGATCCTCCGGTTTCAGCCTCCCAGAGTGCTGGGACAGCAGGTATGTGCTACCACACCACGCCCTGGTTTAATTTTTAACAGCTTTTAACACAGGAAGGAATTTGAGTGGAAGGACACCCAGAAGAAAGAATTACAGAGATATACATTTTTTTTTAAAGAAAAAAATAGTAAAGCCTTTCCTATCTTGGAAAGAACAATAATAGTTATAAAGGAAGACATACAATCTTTGACCCAAGTATACTTGGATAACTTATACTGAGGAAATAATCACCTATGAAAGAAAGTTTGTAAACAATCTATCTCATGATGGAAGAAAACAACTACTTTTCTTTCTTGTTTGTTTTTTTTGTTTTGAGGCAGGGTCTTATTCTGTGGGCCAGGCTGGCCTTGAACTTGTTATGCAGACTTGTCCTGATCTCAGACACGCATAGCCCTGCATCTGCCTCCTGAGCCACAAGATTACAGAGGTGCTATGGCACCGGTGAAAAGCTACTACTACAAACAGCACATGCTAGATGCAAAAATCGTCTTTTGTTTGTTTATTAATTTGACTTTTTTGAGGCAGGGTCTCATTATGCAGTTCAGGCTGGCCCCCAACTCTTAGCCATCTTCTGCCTCAGGGTTACAGGTGTAGGTTACCACGCCCAGCATATACTTTGTACTGTATTTAGTATAATCTCATTCATATAAAGAAAAAGTTAATGAATAGCCACAAAAGTCCTGTTAGGAATAATAACATCTCACTAAAGGTTACGCTTAGCTAGAAGGACTCTAGTCCATTTATTCTTCGTGTATTTCATTTTTGTCATAAATAATAGTAATAGATTATGGTATTATTTTCATGGGCATATAGTATAAACTGCACATTTAAAATTAACAGTTAATTGTATGTCAATTATACTTAAATTAAAAAGTAGAAGGAGCCTGAGAAACTAAGGTACCTGCAGCCTACCCCGGCTGGGTTCTGTGAGAATAATTTGGGTCTTGCGCACAGAAGCCGGGACAGGGCAGGGGGACAGATCCCCTGCCCCCCACTCCGTCCTGGGTCTGCGTGATGTGCCACACAAGGACGGTGTCCAGCGTGGCGCTCAGACCACGGAGTGGACAGCCCCTGCCCGAGAGCGCGGGTGCGTCGGGTGTGCGCCGGTATCCGCGTGGGGTGCAGTCACCGCTGGAAGGTTTCCGCCCGCGCCCTTCCCAGCGGAGTCACCGAGGGCGGCACCCGGTTTCTGGCTGCGGAGGTGGCAGATTAGGTCGCCGCCGAAGCAGTGCGCGGGTCCCCACGCCAGAGGGGCTCAAACAACTTTTACGTAGTATCTGCCCCTGTCTGGTCTGCACTTGCGCCGCCTAAGAACCCAGGCCCGGAGTGCAAAGGGTCTGCACCCGCTGCCCCTTTGGCTCCGGCCACAGCTTCACGGTGACTGCGCGGCCTCCTTCCCCAACGGGGAAACTGAGGCTCGAGGAGGCCAGCGGCCCAGGGCCACTGCCCAGGGCCCGCCCCGCGCGCGCGCTCTGGGTCCGGCCTGGGAGCGCCACGACCAGGCGTCGCCCTCGGCCCGCGCGCAGACAC